ATGACGACGGTTAACACATGATGCCAAACATTCTTTTAATTTAAAAACAACAAACATTATTGTATGTCTACCAGCTATTTATGGTGTTTTATTAACAGTAACACTAATTAATTAATACATTTTAGTAATTGGTGAAGGTTCATGTATTTAGATTTCAGTCCTACTTCAGTTATGGAATTAAGTGAACACTGGAAAACAAGCAGATGGGACTGAATTCCAATCTCCATATCAGAATCTTAGTGTAATACTAATAAAGTTGCTACTGTTTAGTAATGTTACATTAAAAAAAACCTTTGTTAGCGCTTTTTGGAATTAATTTAGTAGAAAAGTTTTAATTGCTTTAATTGACGACTAAATTCCAATACATGTGTATTGCTATCAGGTCACATATTATCCTTTCTTTGATAAATCATTATCAACTAATCATCCTGCAGTTTAATTAAGTTGTAATTATTAATTTATTTGAATTAAAGATTATTTCATACGTAGATAAACATACCACATTTTTTTTTAATCTCTAATAATTGCCTTCATTCAATATTCAACTTAGGTTCTCAGTATCATTTAAATTAATAGCTTGATTTATGTGAGTATTTTATAGATCTTTGCACTGTAAGATTGAATAAGGTATTTTATTGTTTCAGCTTATTACTGATGATTACTTATATAAGTTCTCTGTTCTTAGTTTATTTGAGTGTGTTTCCAAAAAACCAGCTAAACACAATACACAACATTCTTTTGTAACCTACCTGTAAAATCAATTCTATCCAGTTTCACAAGTGTATATCAAAATGAGTAGCCCCAATACTTCATATATAAAGCACTATTTCTTTGATCACCTGTTCCATTGAGACAGTTCAGTTTTGGTCAACTTTATTATTCCCAAATAAATTATTTTTTTTACAAAAGGCCTATTCTTGAATAATACAAAATCTATTGTCTTTTCAGGATGGTATGTCATTATAGCTTGTTGGTCAGGTTAATAATTCAGACTTCTTACGAAATACGGATCATTCAAAAACAAATTTATCTTCTAATCATATGTTCTATAAAAGTGTTTAGAATTATTAAACTATAATCATTATTTGAAAGGTAAGTAAACTGATTGGGAACTCTTATCTAAAGAAAAAATTTTGTCCTGGCACTTGATCAATTATAAAAGAATAACACAGTTTATATTCTGTACCATGTTTTAGAAAGTTGTAAAGAACTCAGTAGATTATCTTCCCAAAAAGTAATTTCTTGAAATAGCATTTAACTTTAATTTAAAATTCCAACTAAATTTGTTTTCAATAGTCAACAGAAAAACAATTCTTTTAAGAATAGACAAGGATTAGGTTCTCATAGTTGAAAGGATGAGTCAATTGAAGCTAGACCACCAAGGAAAATCTGGAAACACTGTTTCCTGGAAACAATGTACTTCTTCAACAACTAAAGAAAAGTTTTAACACGTTAACTTTAATCCATAAAAGTAAAAAACTACCAATTAATACGAGTACGTATCTATTGATTTATCCCAATAATTGATTCATTTTGTTTAGATTTACATAACTCCTAATATTTTATTCAAATAATCACCAAGGTTAACTAGAGATTGACTTAGTTTGTTTCCGTGAATTTCATTCACGACTTTCAACATTTAAATATGAACAGTCTTCTACAGATAAATCACACATTCAAACTTAAAACTAATTTTATCTCGATGTAACACTATTTTTCAGGTAAATATAGCTTGAATTTTTATATAATAATAAAATAACTTGTTAAGCAGGGATTTCAGAAATATACCATAAAATTGTAGTAGTAGATAAGAGCACAGTTGGGGACAACTGAATGTACTTGAACACAACATTACAGAACAGCTGAGAACCACACAGTAAATTGCAAAATGTCAACCAATTGTCTCAAACTTCACTGTTCCTTTTGCAAATATTAGTCAATCATGTTAGACTTTAATGTTCCTGTATCTTTTATACTAATTGCTTTCTGTCGTAGTTCTTTCCTCCTCGATCTTCTTGAGCTTCTGCTCCCAGACATTCTATCTCTGACTAGCGTTATATACTACTTATGCCGATATAAGTAGCACACCACACTGTAACTGGAGTGAATTATTTCTCTACAGAAAATCGATTCTGAGTAAAAAACCAACTAATTGGAAGCCATATATATATAGTATAAATTGAAGATAGTCTATTATTATTTATGTGATAATCTAATCCTTCAGAAGGGATTTTGTGGAGATTTAGTATTTTCATAGTTGAAAGCATGGGTCGATTGAAGCTAGACCACCAAGGAAAATCTGGAAGCACTGGAAGGCCGTTCCGTCCTACTGAAGGACTCCTCAGCAGTGCGCATCCACGATCTGGGTTCGAATCTCATGAGGTCGTGGATGCGCACTGCTGAGGAGTCCTTCAGTAGGACGGAACGGCCTTCCAGTGCTTCCAGATTTTCCTTGGTGGTCTAGCTTCAATCGACCCATGCTTTCAACTATGAAAATACTAAATCTCCACAAAATCCCTTCTGAAGGATTAGATTATCACATAAATAATAATAGACTATCTTCAATTTATACTATATATATATGGCTTCCAATTAGTTGGTTTTTTACTCAGAATCGATTTTCTGTAGAGAAATAATTCACTCCAGTTACAGTGTGGTGTGCTACTTATATCGGCATAAGTAGTATATAACGCTAGTCAGAGATAGAATGTCTGGGAGCAGAAGCTCAAGAAGATCGAGGAGGAAAGAACTACGACAGAAAGCAATTAGTATAAAAGATACAGGAACATTAAAGTCTAACATGATTGACTAATATTTGCAAAAGGAACAGTGAAGTTTGAGACAATTGGTTGACATTTTGCAATTTACTGTGTGGTTCTCAGCTGTTCTGTAATGTTGTGTTCAAGTACATTCAGTTGTCCCCAACTGTGCTCTTATCTACTACTACAATTTTATGGTATATTTCTGAAATCCCTGCTTAACAAGTTATTTTATTATTATATAAAAATTCAAGCTATATTTACCTGAAAAATAGTGTTACATCGAGATAAAATTAGTTTTAAGTTTGAATGTGTGATTTATCTGTAGAAGACTGTTCATATTTAAATGTTGAAAGTCGTGAATGAAATTCACGGAAACAAACTAAGTCAATCTCTAGTTAACCTTGGTGATTATTTGAATAAAATATTAGGAGTTATGTAAATCTAAACAAAATGAATCAATTATTGGGATAAATCAATAGATACGTACTCGTATTAATTGGTAGTTTTTTACTTTTATGGATTAAAGTTAACGTGTTAAAACTTTTCTTTAGTTGTTGAAGAAGTACATAAATCAAAGTGAATTCATGATATTGTACTCAGATCTTTGTTTTTACAGTTTTGAAATGAGTAGAGGAATTTATGTTTGAAATCCTATGGACTGTTATATTCATTTATCATAAATTTTCGGTAGTCATAAAGGGAATAGTGGTGCAACATGGTAACTAATGTCAAATTTTCTCATCTATCTAGCGCAGATCTACACGTAGTTTTCATTCATGACTTCCTTTTATAAATAAAAACGGCAAAATGTATTATACAAGTCAAATCGTATTATATTTTACTGTAAACACAGGTTCATAAGCGATAATTAGTTGACAAAAGACTCGTTACTACTAAAATGAATTTGGATAAATTTCGCTTACTAAGGATCTCGTTACAAAATCTCTAAACTTATATAGAAATTTACAATTAGTTCAAATTATCTTTGACTTGAATTGTTAATGATATCTTTTAAAGGTCTATTCCTTATTTTCATACTGATCGGCTATAATGACGTAATTTGTCTATTATCATTTTGGGCAAATAAACTCATTAGCTAATGCTTGTTTGAACAACTAGTAATCTTACAAACACCTACACAAACTATGGAAATCTTAGCATCTTTCAAAATGATTACAGAAAGTTCAATCTTTCGATGTTTGATTTGCCTTTTATTTGTGGATTATTATCACTACTTTTAGATTTTATCCTAGTATACATCTAATAAGCATCAGAACATTTTTACTCTCTTCATTTAGAAGTCATCTGAACAAAACCCGACTAGTTCAAGACATCCACTTAGTGCCTTCCGCATGTCATAAGAAAAGTAGCTAACAACTCTGAAGTAAAGACTGTTGAATAGCAAGTATTATAGCATTTCAACACTAAAAACTATCTTGAGATTATTTTGACGCGCGTTCAGGCTAACTCATCATCTAGATTTTTTATCCTGTTTTTACATAACTGTCGAATTGCTGAAAAGAAAACAATTTATGATGGTCATTGCTAACATTCATAAAAAAAACGTGTATTTCAGTTTATCTCAACCGCGGTTTTCTACTTTGATTTTTATTCCGTAAATTTCTAGAGTATCAAAACGCATTTAATATTTCCAGTTTGTTTTTTGAAGACAAAACACATTTTAAACCTTAAAGACTAGAACTTTCAGTAAATTAAGTATCAGAAGGGGTTTTGTGGAGATTTAGTATTTTTCATATTTGAAAACGTGAGTCAATGGTGGTCTAGCTTCAATTGACTCACACTTTCAACTATGAAGAGTAAATTAAGTACTTATTAATTTCTATGGCTTAGAAAAATTATGCAATGGGAGATCTAAGTACACGTGTAATTTGGTTCTATACAAAAGAGCTGTAGTTATAACATGAATTTGATTCCGAGAACAATAAAAAATATAACCATATATAAGCACTTTGAATTAATTATATCAATATCATGCAAAGAAATACAAAAACTCATACCATTGAGTCGTTTAAACTATATTTATTTATAACTGTAGGTAAAATTGATCATAAAACTCAAACCCGATCACAGTTACATGATTTACTTGTAAATATGTTCTTGTCTAGCTGAGAATATAATTTGAAATACTATTATGAAAAAAAACACATAGACGTTGGGCAGATTTATAAACGCTTCCCCCCCCCAAAATTGAACATTGACAAAAACAGTTGTACTTACCCTGAGGTGCTGTTTGTAATCTCTCTAAAAAGCCATTGACAGGAGAGTTAGATAGTAGAATAATCCACACAAAACTAGTTAAATATACTTGAAATTGATTGTTCATAGTCCAATGATACAGATACATATTATTTAGCAATAACGATATCTTATGTTTGGTCTTTTTATGGGGCTCTAATTAAAGAGCACCCAGTATGTTGTTTGCGCTTTTATTATTGTCTTTGATAAAACATAAAGTGTGACGATATACTGGTTATTATTGCCCAAGCCTGTATTCAAAATAATGTACACCTATGAATATAAAAATAGCCCACCTCTCTATTCATATTTATTCAATTCATATAGGTGTGTATACATATTATGCAGTTCAGGTATGTACTTATGTTGCTGGGATAGTGTGCATATAAATACATATGTATATCTACCTTTCTATCATATATATAATGTCAGTTAACAAATATTAAAACTTATGCTTTTACATTAGCCTACAAACATTACGATTCACTTTTTTATTGTATTTTTTAATGGTTCCATCTTAGTGTTTCTTATTCGATATTTTCGACCTGCCTTTCATACAGCAATATTTAGTGTAGCACACAAACCTCTCCTAAAAATATATGGACACAAAATTCGGACTAGAATGAGAAACATTTTTTGCTTTGTTGTATTTAGCAACACGTATCCAAGTATCATAAAATAAGTAAAAAGAAATAAGGTGGGTGGGATGGGGGATAAGTGCCAACATTTGGCCCGGATAATAGCTAATATTGAATCATTGAATAAATAAAGTATGCATAGAAGCACATATTACAGTAATGTGTTTGTGTGTGATTCTCTTTAATAAAGTATATTTTCGTGTTGAAAAATATGTCCAAAATACAGAACGATCAACAACGCCAATTCATTCTCTTTTCTATGTCGTCGATTTACCTTAGAACTCAGTGTAAATAACATCTAATTCATTTATGGAAAATATTGAATCTTTCTTTAAATTCTACAACATTATTCACATTGATGTGCCGGGTTCACTACATTGTAAAGAAAGAAACTGAAAGTTTTTGGTTCCCAAACATGGATTTTTGAAATGTCAGTGGGAAATATTGATTCAAAAGTTTATAAATGCTAATATATCTTATTTTCCGCGACAAATGACATGGTTATGTGTGCGTATGTGTGTAATAAATTAAGATATAACCGTATTACTTGTCAAACAACCAGTCCTGGTCAATATAATTTTCGTTATAAAGGATGAATCTCTTTATCAGGAAGCTTAAAGGTTAAAATGGTGCTATTCCAGTTTATAAAACATACACCAAAGATATACATAATTATAATTCAATATATTTTTAATTTAGTAATGTACCTTGTTCATATGACTTGGCTTCCAAATACAAGAGGGTTTAGTCATTAGCATGGTAAATGAAGTTACCAAGTAAGTGACACAATGTAAGCGGATGGGAATATAAATGACATTAGTAGATCGATAATAACGATTAATAAATCAACATCATACTGCGAGACCACAATTTCTGGACGAACCAATTAGCTAAGACAGGTCATGGATTTTGTCTCGAGATCTATTTATTCATAAAGCTAAATTGCATAGTTCGTGATGCAAGCCCTAACGTCCAACAGTAAATCCTAGTGTAGTGAACAGAACACTAATTAGGACAGTCGAATGTATTTAATCAAAAATTACAGACTATCTCAGTAAATTCTGATAACCATACAATGAACAGTTTATTTGCAAATTAACAACCAATTGTCTCAATCTTCACTTTCTCTTGTCTAATTCCATTATTCATGCATTTTCCTACCAATTGCGCTTCATTTCAGTTCTTTCCTCACCGGTCTTCTGCCAAAATACATTCTATGCCTGACCAACACTATATACTACTTATATGGATATAAGTAGACCACACCACATTAATTCCTTACATTTAATTATAACCCTCATCAAATCCTATTGGTGTGAATTTTCTCAAGCTCACTTTAGCGTCGCTCAAAAATCATCTGTAAATTATAGTCTCGCCCACCATACTAAATACATATATCTCGGCGATACTACAGGAAAACAAAACAAGGAAAATCTGTGAAAAAGCTCATAGATATTGATACGTAAAAACAAATTGTTGTTGATTACTAAAGTAAAACTTTAACAGCTTGCTTCGGAAATATATGCATAATTTACCCGTTATGTATATCCTCATCAAATGTCACAATTTTAGGTTCAAGGATTCACTAAAGAACTATAATAACAACCTTTATTTATTATCTCAATGTACTAATTCTGACAGAAAATTAGTAAGTTAGATAATTTACGATTTTCAGCAAGACAATATATATCTATTATCCAGTTATCAAGTTTATTTATGAAATATTACGTGAAGACAAAGTATAAATGAAATACTTGGATACTGAATTTACTGTAATTTAGAAAAGTGAATTACTAACAAGGATGAGTATTTGGGTGTATCTTTATAATCCATCTTATAGATATTAAGACACTACAGGAATATTAGGAGATCTGTCAGAGAAAAGAGATTTTAACCCGGTCAACAGATAGCGCCAAGTAGAATTTTCGTCAAGTGACCACAGTTTTATCTGAAAACATCAAAATTATAAAAATGTCACATCTAAAGGTTCCAACTGAAAATTTAGTAATAAGATTTCTAAAATATAGCTTGTTGGTCGGGTTCTCCTCAAAGGGTCTCTGAATAAGATATTTTTTTATATGGAGAGCAGTTACTTAATTTATTGAATTGCGAATGACTTATGAAATTGATTTTTCCCAATCGTTTGAGACATGCGATTACATTTTTAGGAGTCAGTCAGTCAAATTAAATTACATGGATCCGACTGTTAATCTCAATGCAAATAAATAATAAAAAGTGGTGTATTCACATACTATCTTGATTTATTTCCGTCGTCAAATAAACCCATGTCAACACTAATTGTGTTTTCACTATGCTTCATCAGAATCAGGGTTTTAAGTACTAAGTGCAAGTCAGAGGACATAACAGCTTTACATAAAACTTCATAGTGACTTACATAATATAAAAGGATAAAAAATGTGTGTGCTTTTGAAAATGATCAGTAAAACCCGTTGCCTGGAAATGAACAGTCAAATTGTAAGATAATAGATAGTCTTAAAGTAACAACTTGGGTCATTTATTATGTAAGATTAATTCATTAATGAGATTTCCATCACCTCACGAAACAAAACTTAGCACGTAGAGAATTCACTTGGTATTGCTAGAGAGGTAATCAAGTGCATTCTTAGCGATAAAACACTATTTAACCAATCTCTGACGATAAAAGTACATCAAAACCATTTGCCTTTAGAACGAACTGTAGATTGTTGAGGATGTTAGATTCCCAGGAGTCACTTGGTGAATGCCTTATCTTTGCAATGTTATTTAAAAAATTCGTGTTATATCCCGTGGAGATTTATGAATGGTAACTTTGAGGACTATTGATGGGCCAATGTGATATGTATACTTCCTATTGTATAATTGTTAAGTAACTAAAGTATCCACATTCGTGTCCCTCTTATTATGAGCTTTATTTCGACCTATAGACTATTATTATACGATTTACCATTATTGAGTTATCCCCAGTCTATCAATTACTGTTCCCCCCTATTCACAGCCACATTTGACTAAATCTTGTACAAATGTTATTTTGTATTTTATGGTACGATGTGGTCAGTCTGTTTGGTATATGAACCCAGTATGTTTGAAAATAATGATTCATAGTGCAGGGGCTGTTATTAGTGTTTTGGACTTAACTGGCTGGGTTAGGCAGATAGCAGGACTGATAAGTACTTAAGACTGCTCATACGGCTTTTGTGTATGATTGGGCGATCAATAAATTCACTGTTCTCTGATTGGTGGTCTTATCACGTTCATATACATCAACTGGGCAAGAACGCAGTCAATAGATATAACAGTTTGAAATTTTTTGTTTTCGCGCTAAAAGCGCCATCTTCATCTTCACGTCGTATTTCCGACTTGGGAGGATATTAAACGCTATCGGTTCGTTGTATCTTTTAGTTTGCTATTTTATAACGCTTCTCAAGGACAATTCTATGCTGTATATATACGTTTGATTTGTACCTGTTGTGATAGCTTGTGCTTCTGGCTGCTTACGGAATATATTTTCTCCACTTCGAACTTGGACTTCTCACTCTAGTTAGTGGGGCTGGGACGCGTCAGAATAGATAGTTTTGGTCACAATTCTTCGTTCCGTTCACAGAGTAAGTGAACTCGTAATCGCTTCAAATATCACATAGATAAGGATGCCACATGAAGCGACTAAACTGTTTCTTTTATCGCACTTTTGAGAAAGTTGTCTTTGTAAAGTTTGAGCCTATCAGTTATATGTATGTATGTTCGTTTAGAGTATCTAATTCTTTTCGTGAACATTCCACATACTACTAACAAACCGTTTGCCAGACAACATGAAATCAAGATTTAGATATAACATGAAAATTGAAAGTAGAAGTCGATAAATTATCAACCAAAAGAAAGAAAAACAAATAAATATACATCAAAATGTTACTGTTAAATTCTATTTAATCTAATTTTGAATGACTAATTTAGTTTTCCAGTTGCTCGTTGATGTGTTGCACTACACTTTTTCCGCATGTGCTTAGGCAAAGAGAGTAAAAGTATTTGTATACGATTATATTCACTTTTCGCTTAAGTTTATGAATGAAACCAACTGCACGAAAATTTTTATTCACTGAAAGTAGCAATGTAGCTAGATACAGTAGAGTTAACTGACGATATGCTCACTTTATACCTTCTGTAATTCACCACATAACTTTTAGGCAACTCGGTATTTTCCATTGTAATAGTGCAGTACCAAAGTTCAAGACTGTAATTTCACACAAATATTTTGCATATGACATTACTACTTGAAAGAGAGCTGGATGTAAACACTTCAATATTTTAATAGTTGAGATCATGAGTCAACTGAAATTATACCACCATGGAAAACCTGGAAGCACTGGATGGCCGTTTTGCCTTACTGACTCATGATCTCAAGTATTAAAATTACGATAATATCCACAAAAGCCCTTTCTGATATACTTCAATATTTGCAAACAATTATAATAGCTTCTGATGGAAAGTCAACACTTGAACTTAATTGTCTGGTACAGTATTATTATTGTCAAAATACATAAAAATGTCCAATGAATGAAAATGGATCTCTGAAACAGCAATCACTAACTTGTATTATCTACTCATTGATACAATGTATATAAGCTATTAGTTTTATTGATAAATAAAAATT